TACATTTCTAGAAGATGAAACAAGGATGTTAGGAGAAATAAGATTTAATACAAGGTACACGGTCACCTGGAGCATCCATGACCCTCCACAGCTCCTAGAAGTCTTGTAAATGCATCGAGTACTCTGCAGACTGGAGAGATGTAGAGGAAATTTCTCCAGTCTTCTCCTTTATGAAGCAATGCTTCAGGCATTTTTATATTCTGACATTTAATTCTGAAGACAGTGTAGCTTTACCATCATACATGTGACAACTTCCAGGATTATTTATTTGGATTTTGAGCTTGATCTGCACTCCAGCTTGGGAAAAGCTGTAGGAAAAGTTTTCTCTTTGTTTCAGCTTCTTAATGGAAAATAGTACATAAGTCCTACCCATTCAACCAGCTTGTAAGATTCCTTTTCCTTTGCAGAGCACTACATGGCTTGTGTATTAGGCCTCTTCACTGCATTCGCAAGCTGTGGGGTATCTTTAGTGGTTGGGTTTTTTGAAGGGGGGAGGCTTGGTGTGGTTTTTTTTATTTGGGGGGTGGTATTTTTTTGCAAGTTCTAGCATTATTTCTGAAGTGACACTTATACAAAATCCCTGCAACAAATGCCTATCATCTCATTCTCTAATGTTTGTACACTCTTTTGCTCTCTTAGAGATGTGATAGCCTATTTCAATTTTAAACTCAAAAGCATTACAACTCTGAATTCAGTAACAGCTCTCTTATACAGAGTTTTTAATGAGGAAAAAAAGGAGTTGTAATACCACCGTACACTTTTTCTGATGTTCATGGTGCCTTAAATAATAACCAGTTAATCATGGTCTTATAAGCCTCTTTATAACTGTGGTACTCATTAGCAGTAAGTCCAGTTTATTTTCTTAATTTTTGATACCATATCTTCCTGGGAACTTAGATTTCTCACTGTAATTCCATGTACTGTTATTTTTATTACTTCTTGAGGTAACTTTAAAATTAGAATGAACACAGGCAATGAAAAGTTAAGTCTTGGGGAAAAAAGCCACTTGCTCTTGTGAGATCACACTTGGTTTTGGCCTATCAAGCAGAGAGTTGTTTAGGTTATATGTGGTAGACATACTTCACTATCCTCACAGAATATCCTATAAAATCCAATGAAAATTAAAGCAGTAAGGTTTCTACAGGAGTTAAGGAGGACTCTGGAGAAATAACTTTAAACACTAATAGCCTTTTCATGGAGCTCTACAGGGCTGTATAAGTACTTTTAAAGTGCATTGCACTTGCAGTTACATATTTCCCATTCAAAGCAGGAGGATATGACCGTAACTGAAAAGATCAAAACATCCAGCCATGTGACAACTTCCAAGAAGCAAAGCCAAATTTTATTCCCAGTCATTTTCAAACAGAAAGAAGCAGCACTCAGTCAAGTGCTGAAGGCTCACATCTGCCTGTGCGCACACGGATGACTGCACACGTGCAGAGAAATGCATTCAGATGAAAGGCTGCCCATAACAATACCACTATTAGACCCAGCAATTTCAATAACATGGCTTTGAAGAATCTTTATTCCTTTCAGATACCTCAACAAAACTCTTCAAGAAAACAAACTTATGCACTCACCTACACAGATTAGGCGCTCAAGAGAAACTGGAATGTGGACTTGGAAACCTGATAATTGGTTACAGAATATCCAAGCAGGTTTCTTGATACTGATGATCAATTCCTCACCAGCTGTCTATCAACTACTTGTAATAGTGAATACAGACACAGGATGATGATCCATTGGTAACACTACTCTGTAACTACAGTAGATGTCCAGATAAAGGCACTAAAATAGGCTGTTCAAAAAGAAGTGTGGCCAGTACACATTTCTCTCTGCTTCAGTCTCATGAGACCCCATCTGAAGTACCGTGTCCAGCTCTGGGGCCTCCAACATAAGAAACACATGGACCTGTTGGAGAAGGTCCAGAGGAGGACCACCAAGATGATCAGAGGGATGGAGCAGCTCTCCTATGCAGACAGACTGAGAGAGAGTCTGTCTGGGGTTGTTCAGCCTGGAGAAGAGAAGGTTTCAGGGAGACTTCAACGCAGTCTGTAGTGACAGGACAAGGGGTAACGATTTTAAACTAAAAGAGGGTAAGTTTAGATTGGACATTCTACAGTCACAATGTTCTGTACATATATTGTTTCTGAAATGTATCCACTAACACATTTAGTCACTTGGCTCCTAATACCCATGTGACACCAGGCATATACGTCTTTCCTTGAAGGGGACACTGCAGACAGCTTACCTGACTACTTGAAAGAAATATATTGTTAACAGATTTTAGAAAGATGCATTATTTCATATATTTTTTCAGGTAATAAATCCTAAAGATATGAATGAAACGGACAGAAAAATGAATTGCATCCATTATCAGAAAATTACTCTGTACAGGCAAAGCAGCCAACTGCTAGGATCTCTGTCATAGTATTTTACTCTGCTCAAAATGCATTGAACAAAGCAGTCAGGAGAAAGAGGACAGAATTAAAAGAAAAGATTCAGAGGTTCTATATGGCAACTGTACAGATTTCTAATATGGAAAACTGAGATGCAGTATCTTACTAATTTCTTTTTTAAGTTACAGTAAAAAAATTATTTTGTATGCAAGAATGCAGAAACTCAACACAAAATATGCACAATGTCAAGCAATCAGTGCGCTTCATTTTGCATTGTAAATAGTCTGGTTGTTTTCAAAAATTTGTCAAAGTTTTTTTTTTATTTTGCTTGCTTTTAAAGCAAAGTCCCACATATTCTAGGCATCTGAGACACACATACAAAAAAAAAAAAGTCCTTTTGACAGTAATAAAGAAAAACCAAAATATAACAACAGAATTCTAGAGTAATCAAAAATCGCTATCATAAATATATGATGAGTTACCGGATAGCCATTTCGCCCTGGTAGACCCTGGTTGAATGAGATGAAATGGTAGGACAAACATTAACAACACAGTCATGACATATGACATAACAAACATGCAGAGTACATTACTAGTAAATTATAATTTGCATATTGCTTCTTTTTTTATATGTGATGATATTTCAAACCAATAAATATGAGATAAGTACTACACAGTGAAGAAGTGAGGCTTTGGCAATGGAAATCCTATGTTTTAATTTAAATAAACCCTCTTAAAAGGCTACTGACTACTTCTGATGTTCACTGAAATTCTATTTTTTATGAAGAGAACTATCCATGTAGACTGAAAGGCAATACGTGGCTAAAAAAAGAAAAAGGGGTTTAGTGCTTAGGTAGTATTCAATTCCACTAAAACATAGGTGCCAAAGAAGAAATTTGAGATTGCTTTAAAAGATCATAAAAAAAATTTGAAATCCTCAGCCTTTGAGTGTTATTACATGTGATATTCAGTAGTAAGGTACAAGGAAAATAAACAGAGCACTGCAGGTAGCCTTTGAAATAAAACATACACCTAACCTCCTACAGTGTTATGTGGTATATACAAATATTTTATATTTTAAATGAAAACTATTACCACAGTCTCCCTGGTGAAAATAATAACTAACTTCACCACAGTTGCCCCTAGCCAGTGTCTACGTAAATATAAAAGTGAATTAGGGAGAGATATTACATTTTTAATGACTTGTAACAATGCCTTACTGCCAGTCAGCAAGATGAAGTCTTGTAAGTTTTGAGTATGAAACTTGGAATTTAAAGTCAGACGGTTCTAAAATTATTAAGTTTTGAAAGCTATTTCAGGTCTGTGTAAATATTGCTACAAGTAAGACTTTTTTGTGGGTTTTTCGCCTTTTTTTTTTAAATGTATCTATAATGAAACAGTGAAGAGCTGAAGTTAAAGGCATTCATAATGAGGCACATAGTGAACTTTAGCCATGTTGCCTTGCTACAGGAAAATAGTTCGTATCATGATTTATGTTTGCTCTTTGTGTTTCACGGGATGACTGAAAAAGAAATTAGGGGAAACAAGTGTTTCTTTCAAATAAACAGCATCTTTATGCATTAAGCCTGGCTTTTCATTGATAGCTTGTTAAATGAATTTGTCACTATAAATTGCTGAGCACATGGTCAAAATCTTACAAGGATAAGTAATATCACTGCTCAGTTTATACAGTTTACAGTGAAACCATTAGGTCACAGCAGGGATTCAACGTATTAATTCGCTATTCTTAAACATGCATGTAGCATATGGTAATACGGGCTTGAAATTTTTGTGGAAATACTACATTTCCTAAAGAAAAAAACAGAAGTCTGCAAACTGTAAAAGAAATATTGTTTCAATGGTCACACTCTTACATCATATGATGCGCATGGATGGCATGACAAATACAAATGTTTGAGACATATGTGCTCAGTCCTGTCCTTCAAGTCAGACTTCTGACCTACTCTGGGAATATACAACAAAGCAAACAAATGGCAAACTAAAAAACCCAAGCAAAAACCAAAACAACCAAAAAACTCCAGAAGAAAGAAGTTGTTTTCTTACAAGAAGGATTAGCACAAGATTGAACTAACTTACTAAACTGAACAGTACTATTTAATATTAATTTTACTCAAGCACTTACTGGCTTCAGTAGCAATTACAATGAAATGAGCTGGACAACCTGCATACCTACAAAAAAACAGGGAGCTTGTACCTCAAGACTTTGTGATAACTGCAGAGGAAGTTACTATCCAGCAAAAGCAGGTAGTCCAGTCTGGACTTAGGATACGCACACATTTTTATACCGCAGTAAAATATCAAGTTACAAGGAAAATAAACATAACATACTTACATGGACTTGTGATCCAAACGGCTATCTGGAGTGCTGAATATAAAGCTTAATTGTTTTAGAGACTTTTTTTCTTATGGAACTTTCTGATTAAATTATTCAGCTCCAAGATACCATATTTGTATAAACGTCAAGATTCCCTCTTGATTATACATTATCACACCTCATCATATGTCACGGTGACAACTTAACAGGATCTAACAGATTTCTCCCTGATTCTGGAAGAACCAACAATGTAGCACTGTACTTACAGGAGGTCCTGTGGGGTGGGGGAGAGGGAAAGAAGGTAAAAAAAAGAGAAAAAAGAACACGTAAGCTTACGAAGCTATTAAAGAAAGATACATATGTATGAAGTCAAGCACAAGGCCTCAGGATTGTCAGTGAGCAGCACTGCTAATAGAGTGTGCACATTTTCCCACTCAAGTAATCTTTAGCTTTGGTTGCGCTCCGAAACTTGTAAATATGACTACTGCTTAAATGCATGCACTTACCTTACCAATTCTTCAATTACAGTCATGCAATCTTATGAAAATTGCTTCTCCATCCATTTCCATGCAATTTCATGCCAGTCCAAAAACACCAGCCACAGACTACAATTCATTTTGTCAGACTCCACATAAAGCATATGTAACCACATCACCAGTTTCAGTCAACCACACACTTGGCATTTGATCACAGCTTGGCTGCAAAATTGCACAAAGTACCCTTGGCATTTAACCTGGGCATCTTGTCAAGACATACGTGTACTAGCATCTTCCAGCCTTCCAATTTTGCCCGTGAGGGGAGGTTTCAGTGGCCACCTGACAGCGCTGAACTTTGTTTTCATCGCCTTCCTCTCTCAAGGCACACATATAAAATGGTCCCCATTAAAATGTCACACTTAGTGAAGTGATATTTGCACATTTTTTCAATTATTTAGACCTCAAAGACTTTTGTATAGCAGTTCTTGGAAACATTATCAAAGGGTCACAAATCAAACCTACTATTTCAGTCTTATTAAGTTGAGCAGCTGCAGCTCCCAAATCAATGGCATTTCATTAAGCTTTTATGCCTCTCTCTAATTTCTGAATAAAGTGAAGTGCAAAAGGAGTATAAAACAGCAGCAGCTGTACTTTGAGATTGCTTTTAATATTGACAGCCTTTTGACTTTAACAATGTAATTTTTATTGTCCAGCAACTAAGGTAATGTCTTTATCCTGGCAAACATTCTTAAACAGCATTTTAAGGTGCAGGTCTGTTTTTAAATGAGAGATCAATTTCCTTTATTAATAGTTTAATATGTGTTTATTTGAGATGTAAAATGAATCAACGAGCATCCCACAAAGTAATTGCCAGGATCATTTGTAACTCAATCTTCAACCACAGAATTTCCTTCTGCATCATAGCCTCTTTCTCTGAAGTAAATACTAAGCCAACACTGAATTGAAACACCAAGGTGATTTTTATCAACCTTTGGCAGGGATTGTCTTCAGTTTTGTGATTCAGGAAGATACAGAAATAGTTTTTAAATTACCACAGCCAGATAAATTACCATGTACATAGATAAGAAAGGCTACAGAACATTTACAGAGATCGAGTTGATTGGAAGATTTTCCTAGCTGGCAGATTAGACAAGAGAGAGTAGAAATGCTCATTTTCTACTGCATCACCTCCACAACATTCACCTTGATGAAAAATTCAATCCCGCAAGGTAATCAACAGTTTCGATTCCTGTGGATGTCAGCAGGAAGAGGTCCTTAGCCTCTCACAACTTTGTGTCAAATGAAATTTCAAGCTTCACACCACCAGCAGGATTCTATCTACAGCAACCTCCATGGTACAGAGTAACAAACCAACAAATATTTTTTCTTATTTCTCTTAGAACTTAAGCGCTATTCATTTCTAGTAAACAATTTCTCTCATACAGTCTACTTATCACATTATTTCCCTGAGTACTGACATTCTTGACATAAGGAATTTTATTTCCTTCTTTATTTCCTTATAAAATTGTTCACCTCAAACCAAGGGGGTCCAATATAACACTGACATAGTGCTCCAGTTACGGACTTACATGGAGTTATTCTAACATGTGCAAGTGTGAGAAGACACTTAAATGGTTTGACAATTACAAATGTGTTACCAAAGGTACTAGGTCGAGTATTATGAAGCTTGCCTACAAATTAATGATGCCCAAGGCTAGAAAAGTATGCCAACGGTCACAATCTTTTAACAGAGAAGTTTCAGAATTCTCTTTCACAGCACACATGCAATACAACCAAAAACGAAGACATGCTGTGTATGCATCCTCACAAAAACATAGACATCACACAACAAGGGATCTTATGAAATTGAAAACTTACCTGTCTCTCCTCTTCTTCCCCGCTTACCTCTTTTCCCTGGAGGACCTAAAAAGAAGATGGTGGATTGTAACTTTTTCCCTTGAAATTACATGAAGAATATAATTTTTTTGGATGTAAGGGCATAGAGTGATGTATTACACAAAGTTCAGAGACTTTGGTTGAGTAGGGGTAAAAGATAACCCGAATAAGATTTAGGAAGTTGGAGATAAATTTGACAGCTACGTTACCCACCACACCCTCTCTGAAAAAAGGATGGGAGAAACTTTGGAGGTCATCCAGTTCATCCCTCTTTCTCTTGGAAAAAGCTAACCAAATCTAAATTATAACTGCAACTTCAACAGGCATTCACCCCCCTTCCCCAGTATTTCACTGTTTTGACAAGTGGAACATTTCTTTATGTCCAACTTGCTGCACTGAAGCCCATCAATTCATGTGCTTTCCACCATGAACTCCAGAGAAGAAACTGTCCCTTTTCTCAAAAAATTCTTGGTATTCCTCAGAATTGCTGCACCACTCCTTCAATCACCTTAAACCAAATATATCATGGGACATTAAGTTTTATTCAATTATTCCCATATTAAGCCCAAAGATTAGTATTTATTTATAGGAGCAAATCCCCTGGAAAATGCTTTCCGCCTCTACCTGAAAACATGCAAAAGATGGAGAAAGCATCACCTGGCTTGCCATCCCCCAAACATTCAACAACAGTGTACGTGTTGCCAGACACAGTCTAAGGTGCTTTGCCTCCAGTTTATGCTTGTTAGCTATAACACAATGGCCTAGTTACTGTATGCTTTTTGTTAAGAAATCTTTATTTCTCATTGTGCCCTTTCTCCCCGAATATCTATATACTGCAACCAGTATCTGCTGCTAACTCTGAAGAAAAGGAAAAATCCTTTTTGTCCTTCATTTCTGCCTTCAGTATCATTTTCTAAACCTGCAGACATCAGATGTCAGACTGCAGACGTTTTCCCCCTTCTTCCTGGTGACCTTGACGTGCTGTTCCCGAAAATACAAGGAAAGCACACTTGCACTTCTCCTTGAATAGTGTGGAGGAGAAGCAGCAGCTGCAGGGATGACACAGAGTACTGAAACACGGTTGCTCTGAAAAGAGAACCACAGGTGGGACTCTCAAAGCTGCTGAAGGGAGGAAAGCACACGGGTGGAATTTCCAAAAGCAGCAACACGTGCAGGACCACAAGTACCTCTGCTGTGGCTGTATCTCGCTGTTTGTAATAGATATTAGATGCACAGGTGTTTTTCTGCAAATAGTTAAGCAACTGTCTGATACTTTAAAAATCATCTGAACTATTGTTCCAAAGCTTTTAAATAGCGTTGCACTATATATTTGCAGCAATCTGGCTTAAAAGATTAAGATACTGAAAAGCAACATATATGGGAAACAGCATTTGTTTTCCAGGGAAATAAAATATTATTGATTTAAAAAGAAAGGAAGAAGGTAGAAGAAAGAAAGAAAAAAAAGAAAGAAAAAATAGAAAAGGAAAAAAGAAAAATTAAGTAGAAAAAGGAAAAAGAAAAAAAAAGGAAAAAGAAAAGGGAAAAAAGAAAAAAAGAAAAAAGAAAAGCAGCTCTTGTCTTGAACGTAGAGAGGTTTATTCCTATCAGAGCATTATAAGTCTCACTAGAATTCTTCTTTTTTCTTCTGTTTTAGTAATTACAGTAGTGGCATAATGCAACACAAGTTTAAGACAATATTATACAAAGCAAGAATGGTATAGGTTATTCATAATCAAAACCATACTTAACAAGACAAGAATATTTTGGTATTATGAAAAATAGCAAAAGTGTCACTTCTGTGTGGGGAGAACCTTGCAACTTCCTCCTGAAACACTCCATCCTCTGCAAGATATCTATGGAAACTTCTTACACAGGAAATGGCATGTTACAAACATAAGTTCCTACATACACCTTTTCTCCCCCCACCCCGCCCCCCCAACTACTACTGAAACCTTTTAGAGTCCTTCTGCATGCACACAGCCCTTCAGTGGTCCCTCTGTGGAGATTTCCTGGGCTGTCCCCAAGCTCACAACACAGCCGTGCAGCAATATGGACTCAACAGAAACATGGATGTGCAGGAGAAAATTAAAAGGTTCTTTTCCAGGTAATGACATGTCATTCAGCATATAGCAAAAATATACTGCTAAACAGGGTGGTAAGATTTTATTTATTAAAATTTAACTATGCTGTAGGTGTGCCCATGCACACACACAAAAAGTTCTATCAAGTTTCCTTTTGAGAAAAGAACTTTGAAACTAAAAAACTTCAGCTACAGACCAGCAAAAGGCATCAAAGTCACTGACAGAAAACTGTGAGGGTCATTTCAAGCTATGAATTTTAGGAAGGAATGGAATTTGCCCAGCAAACCAGACTTCCATAGAGCACTAAGTTGCCAGTTTAGTAGCTGTGTACAGTGACAGCAAAGAAGGGACTCCAGTTCACCTCTCTTCTCAGACACCAAGTGCTGATCCCTTCTAAGCCATTATTCTAAGATTATCAGATTTAGATCTAAGTGTGAATCATCAGGGAAAATGGGTGTAATTATTGTACTTCCAAAGTAACCACATCACCGAGGATACAAAAAAAATTATTCTGGCCTTAGAGCATTAATCAAATCATACTACCACCCCTGACCATCAGATCAGCAGCTTTTAAGGGTCAAGTGATGTGCATCGCTGCTCTCTCTCATTAAAAGTTGTTTTGATTTCTGCACTATCCAAGTCTCTGACAAGGTGGTGGTATTTGCAAAACTCATAAGAATTGTGAGACGAGAGATTGATCTTGCAAATTTCTACAAGGTTTTGGTGACCATTTGAGGAAATAGTTTCTATATATTTATCTAATTATTTACTTTTTACCAATACAAACTAATTCATTTTAAACAGTTAATCACAGATGGTTTCAATTCACAGAAACACTAATGCTGACATTTATGGTCATCACTAGATGACCTACTACTTCATAAAGCACACGAGCTTTCATGTTTTCCTGAACAGGCTGCTTTTTCTAAATCTTAACTGCTAACATCATCTCTAGCTCCAAGAACTTCAAATTATCAAAACCCTGGGCATTTTTCTATAAATATTAATTTTCCATCTGTCTGTAATTTGATAACTTTGCACTAATTGGAGGATTTGGTAGAGACTCATCACAGCCAAAGGAGCAGTGGATAAAGTTATACTATGGACAATGTCAGCTTACATCAAGTCCAGTGATTGTTACATCTTGCACAAAATACTCAACATATGACACAACTACTCTGAACCTTTTTGCCTGGGGTAAAAGAAAATATCTCTACTCTAATAGTATCAGAAATGTCCATGCTGAATTGAATTTAATCCAGAGTATTTTAACAGTATTTTGTTTTGAATAATTTTCATATTAAAAATATAAAAGAAATATAGAAGTTCAAATCTCAGTGGACTAAGTTGGGTTCATACATATTAATGATATTGAGCAAGAAGCAAAAGCTACTTTATAGTAGCCAACTTTGCCAACACACTGTTTTCCTAAGATGACTACATTTACCTACAGGTAGGGAGTAAAATGCTAGATCAGCTGGTTTTAATTTTTAACTTTGTTTAGTTTCAAAATATTTGAAATTATTTGTTTCTCCCAAAACCATTTATGGTCTAAGTTTTATGAAGAGAAAGCTTAAAAGGGATTTTTTTTTTTGATTCAAGTGTTTATAAAATTAATGCCACTGCTATTTCATATCTATGAAGGGAGTTTTGGAATTGAAAGAATTAAAAGTCAATTGAAACTAAAAGTCAATTAGTTATGTGAATTTATCTTCTTAAGCAAAAACTGCTCAAAAAGTTTTGCCTTTCTTACCTACCATAAGAGACTGACAAACCCCACAAATAAACAGAAAAAAATCCTCCTGCGCCACACAAAATGGATGAAAACTCCTGTATTCTGTATTCACCTGTATTCACCTTGTTCTTTGTACTGATATATTTACAGCAAACAAATTCTACACTTCAAAGCAGCAGACTAAAAAAAAATGCATAAAATCCACCACATTTGGTGGATGAGACCTGGAGTCACTCAATCAAATGCTCTGCTGTTTGCTCATAAGCTTAGCTAGAAAGTCAAGTTTGTCCTAATTTTGGAAAGAATTACAGTGGCATTATCAAGTCAAAGGAAAAGGATTTACCCATCTTGGATTATACCAAACTCCAGAAGCTATTCACTGTCACTGCAAGTAAGAGCTCCTACAGCACACTATGCACCAACCTAAGAATAAGAGTTCAGAATCCTGTTTCCTTTTTTACTGATTGCTCACATATAGTTTTGACACATACATACAGCTACTGTTAAAGGTAAAGGAAACAAGCATTCCATGTGTACACAAGAAGAATAATATTTTCCTGGCTATTTCAAAGGACATCCATTTCACATAAAGTTTACAGCAACGTAACATTTTGCCTGTCAAGTCAGAAAAATGAGCTGACCCAATTACATTCTCAGAGTAAATCCTGAGCAACTGTATATAGTAGAAATACTTCAGTACCATCAGGCTGCCAACCTTGCTGAAATAATGTGATTAAAATATCTGGAAGTCTGCTGAACTATACCAACCAAGCCTCCAAAACTGTCCTTTTTGATTCAGCTCTAACACTGGTAAAATAACTGCTATTGGTTGCATTTCAAGCTCCATCACCCCAAGCTGTCAATGGATCCATCTCTCTCCTCTCCACTTCCAAAGTACAACCCAGCCGCCATCATTTTATCCCACTTTGCGTTTCTCCCTGTCAAAGAAACTCAGGCAGGACCTGCAGTACCGTGCTGAACAGAGCCAACCCCTTGATGATCACAGGGAGAGGAGAGCTCCCCCAGCAAACTGACACCTCTCTGCTTTACAGCTGTAGGAGCACCAAGCGACACTGCAGGCCAGCACTGCAGGTAGGCAGCAGAGCAGAGTGGCAGCCTTTGAGCCTAACACCTCCTCCTGGGAAATATGGATGCCATGAGCAGGGCAGCATGTGACTCCAGTTAATACTGCGTGACCAAGTGCCTCATTC